GCACCTGACAACAACAACAATATACGTTTTTGTGTATATATGTATCCAGGGTTCACCAGGAAATTATTAGGGGAAGCAGATTAATGAACAAATTCGCAAAGTTGCACATGACGAGGTCAACGTGCATCAATCAGTTGTATAACAGCAATGAGAAAACAAAGTTAAGAAAATAATTCAATTTCAGTTAACAATGGTAAACAATTAAAATATTTAAAAGACTATGTTGAACTGGAGAGATGAAAGACATGCACCCTAGAAGCTCAGACAGTCCTGGGAGAAATGAGATCCGTAAATAAGTGGGAGGACACTCCGTGCTCAGAGCGGACAAGCCCAGTATTGTCAGGACTCCCTTTCCAGCCAAAGCGGTCTGTAGGCTCAGTACACTTCACAACAGCATCCACACAGCCTTCTTTGCAGATCTGGAAAAGCCATTCCTCAAAGACAGACTTGAAAGGGCCCTGGTGGGCAAAGCAAAATAGAAGGACTCACACAGTTCCTGTTTTCAAACCCTACCATAAAGCTACAATAATCAGAAATCCACATGTAACAGTGAGCACGTAGAGACCAAACAAAAAACCCCAAACCCATTGCCTTCCAGCGGTCTCTGATCGGGAGACTGTGTAGGATCGCGTAAACTGCCTCATCACAGCAGCAGACTGCTCGTGGGGTCAAACCGCGCGCGCACACTTGAGTTGCCAGCTGAATTGTTTAACCACTTGGCCCTTTGACTCCTACGCATAGATGAATGGCGTCGACTCGAGAATCAGCTGTGGCTCACTGATTCTGGACAAGGATGTTAAGCCCCTCCTGTGAGGAAAGGGTAGTGTCTTCCCTAAATGGTGCCTGGACAACCAGGTCTCCATGTGCAAAAACTGGAGTTGGACCCCTAGCTCCCACTGCATTCAAGAATTCAGTCATCAGTGGCTTAAAAGGAAGTACTGGAACCTTAAAACTTAGACTAACACATAGGAGTAAATAATGCTTCAGGACCTGGTTTGTGAAGATGAGTTCTTAGATCTGACCCCAAAACACAAATATAAAAGCACAAGAAAAAAATTAATAAATTGGATTTCATTTAAAAAAAAAAAGAAAACGCTGTTCATCAAATTTACCAACAAAATGAAGCTACAAACTACAGAATGGGAGAAAATGTTTAGGAGTCATATCAAGTAAGAGTTTAATATGCAGCGCATACGAAAGATTCTTACAGGTCAACAACAGAATGACAACTCAATCAACAAAAGTCCAGGAAAAACTGCTCACCGCCATCACTCACAGTGCTGTACAGTCAGTCCTGCCTAGGGTGTCTGAGGAGCGGCTGCTGAGTTTGAACCGCTGACCTTACAGTTAGCAATCCAGTGCTTATCATACAGCGCCACACCAGGGAAATGCATATTCCAAACCACAGTGAGATGCAAAAGCACATCTGCTAGGATGACATCATCAGAAAGTCACAGTGTTAGTGTGGGTGTGGAGACATTAGAACGCTTGTTCAGTGCTCAGGGAATGTGAACTAGTGCGCCTGCCGTAGAAACGCTTGTTCGGTGCTCAGGGAATGTGAACTGGTGCGCCTGCCGTAGAAACGCTTGTCCGTTCCTCCGGAAGTTCACGATTCTCAGTGCCACCGGGTTGATTCCAACACTTGGCGACCCTCTGGGGATTCCAAGGAGCACTGGTAGTTTCGAACTACCAGCCTTGAGGCTAGCAACCCAGTGTTTCTCTCATAGCATCAAACTGGTTATGTGCTGTGGAGTCGGTTCTGACCCATAGCGACCCTGTACAGGGTTTCCAAGGCTGTAAATCTTTACGGGAGCAGAAAGCCTCATCTTTCTCCCACGGAACCACTGGTAGTTTCGAACTGCGGTTCACAGCCCGATTCGTAACCACTACACTACTCTATGACCCATAAATTTCATTTTTAGGCTTCTTCCCTCTAAAAGACTTGAAAGCTAGCGGCTGTCTACCAGAGCTCATTGCAGAAGGCCTCAGAGTAGCCAGTGTTCCTCAACAAATGGATGGATAATGTTGCGTATGCATCTAAATGACAAGGATGCACCTTGAAACCACGTTGGGTGAAATCGGACACAACAGGACAAATCTTGTAAATCCCACTGACGCGAACTGTCTGGGATACACAACTGCATCCAAGGGTATGAGTGGATGGCAGGTCAGGTGAGAGGGGAAGCTGGAAGGTCTTTCTTGAGTCCTGAGTTTCTGCCAGGTGACGAAGAAGGAATTGGGAATGAGCGGTGGTGGCGGTGGTACCGCGGCTGAGCCCGACTCCCCTGTCCCCGCGCCTGCCGACATGGCTCAGGCGGCACAATCCGTGTTCAGACTCCACCACAAGACCACGTGTCGTATGACTGTTTACCTGACATGTACAGAAAACGTAGTCGGCAGAGACAAATGAATAGACTAGTGACTGCCCAGGGTTGTGTGTGGAGTCCTGGTGTAGCGCTGTAGGATCAACACTGGACTGCTAACCGCAAGCTTGGAGGTTCAAACCCCCCAGCCGCTCCTTAGAGAGTCTCTGCAGGGTTGCTAGGATTCAGAACTGACTGAACAACACGATTGTGTGTAGGGATTTATAGTTGTTGTTGTTGTTGTGAAGTGCCTTCGAGTCGGTCCCGACCCATAGCGACCCTGTACAGGGTTTCCGAGGGTGTAAATCTTTACGGGAGTAGAAAGCCTCATCTTTCTCCCGCAGAGCGGCTGGTAGTTTCGAACCACTGACCTTAAGGTTTGCAGCCCGATTCGTAACCACTACGCTACCAGAGCTCCTTAGGGATTTATAGTAGAGTATCGCTTTTCCAAAGGCGCTCTGGTAGCGTAGTAGTTGTGAATCAGGCTGCGAACTGCAAAGTTAGCAGTTCGAAACTACCAGCTGTTCCGCTGAAAAAAGACGAGGCTTTCGGCTCCCATAAAGATTTACAGCCTCAGAAACCCTGTACAGAGTCACTATGAGTCGGAACCGACTCCACGACTCCACCGCACATAACAACATCTCTTTTCCAAGGTGACAAAAATATTCTAAAACTGATTGTGTGAATGGCTCTCAGGCTGAATATTCGTGTTTCACACTTGTAAATGGGTAGGTTTGGGGCATGTGAATTATTTCTCAGTAAACTTACATTTACTTCAAAGCTTGGAGTCAGCATAAGAAGACACCATAAAAGGGTTTGGATACCAGGAGATGTGATTCATTGTGGAATTCCTGTGGTCCACCATACTGATCTTGTGAGGTGGCAACTCATGATGGGGCCTTGCTAGAAACACGCCCCCCCCAAATGTCCACCAAGAGAAGTAAATTGTATTAGATGCACCGCAATCAAAAGAACTAACTGTTGAAAAGAACTATGGTAACATGAGTGTATCTCATTCTGTCAAGACAAAGAATGGGGGTGTGCCGTGGAGTCGGTTCTGACCCATAGTGACCCTGTACAGAGTTTCCGAGGCTGTCCATCCTTATGGGAGCAGAAAGCCTCATCTTTTACCCGCAGAACAGCTGGGAGTTTCAAACTGCTGAGACCGTGAGCTTAGCAGCCCTATTCATACCCACTCTGCTCCCAGAGCTGCTTAAACAAAGAATGTACACTGATAATTCTGTTTCTAAGAAGATTAATGTAAACAAAACTAGTCATTAATGGAAGAATAGAATGATGATTATTTCGGGCTTAGGAAAGGTGGCAGTATTAACTAGGAAAGAGTATGAGGGAATGTTGTAGGTACTGGGAAGGTTCTAAGTTTTGGTCGTGGTGATTTCATGGGTATATATGTATCACTAGCATTGTTTACTATTTCTGTGTTGTTGTTGTTGTTAAGTGCCATGGAGTCAGTTCCATCTCATAGTGCTTATGTATAGTGTTTGCAAGGAGCAACTGGTGGCTTTGCAGTCCTGTGCTTACCGTGCGGTGCCACACCAGGACTCTGTCTAATGGTTATTGGTGGTGGTGTGCTGTGGAGTCAGTTCCGACTCAGAGCGACCCTGTGTGGGGTTTCTTAGGCTGTAAATCTTCATGGGAGCATAAAGCCTCATCTTTCTCCTGCAAAGCGGCTGGTGGATTCGAACAGCTGACCTTGTGGTTAGTAGCCCAACATGTAACGCACCACACAACCAGGGCTCCTTAGCTCATTTAATAAGAATTTACATTTTCAAAGAAGCTTGAACTCTGGGACCCAAATGATCCTAGGTTGTTTCAGCTCTACCCAGCTCAACAGCTCTGTGCTTTAGGACCCGTCCACGCCTCGCTTTCCCCATTTGTGGAAGACACGGATGTGAGGCTTAAATGCAAGCTCTGTGGAAAGCTGAGTCAGAGCTGGAGATGCAGTGATGAATCAGACAGTGCTCTGCTCGTAGAGAGCTAGTGTTCTTACAGAGGAGACTCTGCAGTTTACCGTTGCATCCTTACCACCGTTTCAGGAGAGGCCATGCATGTCCTTATCTGCCATACACACTGCTATTTGTTTGAAGTGTGTCATATTGTTGTTTTGTATAAGTAAAATGATTGAGCCTAATGCATTTGTTCAAAGCCTCTTTGACTCATCATTCTTGCTATTGCTGGTCCGTGGATACTGTGTTTCCCTTCATAGTTGCTGTAAACGTAAGATTACTAACTACACTCACCAGGCGTGACGCAGAGGTCTGACCTCTAAGACAAAAGTTGCTCATGGCGCCTTAGTATTCTGGGGGCCTCTGCGATGTGATCACTGCTGTGTGCTTCTAAAAGCCTGCTCAGCCTTTCCCGGGATGATGACAGGAAGCAAAAGCAGAGAGAAAAAGATTGGAAGAGAACAGCAGAGGGTTTCTTAAGGGGAAGTAAAACATTTTTGACCCTTCTGTTCCAAATGGGTGCTTTTCAAAGTCCTGTGTGACTTCAGCAACAGGCAGAGTTGGGCATTGTTGGAAATGACCAGCAAACGGTGAAGTTCATCTTCTAATTATGGCATTTCGTTTCAGGAGCGGACATTAAAGACAAATTAAAATGTTATGACTTTGATGTGCATACGATGAAGACACTAAGAAACATTATTTCACCTCCGTGGGATTTCAGGGAATTTGAAGTAGAAAAACAGACTGTGGAAGAAACAGGGCTTACACCACTGGAAACCTCCAGGAAAACCCCAGACTCCAGGCCTTCCTTGGAAGAAACCTTCGAGATCGAAATGAATGAAAGTGACATGATGTTGGAGACGTCTGTGTCCGACCACAGCACGTGACTCCACACCCAGCTCCCTGGTCCAGAGTGTTTTGTCACAAGTTAACAATTCCTGTGTTTCAACACCAATGCTCCACAGGGAAGACTGGGTATTGCACCTTTGCAACAGATACCCTGATCCTACAAAACAGTTACATGGAATGGAATAAAGAGGAATGAAATTGTTACTTATTTTATCCAGTGATTTATGGAAGGGAAATTTCCTAAAACTCGGTTTTAAATTGCTTTCACTTCTCTAAGAACCACAGTTGCTCATTGTATTTCAGTCCTTTCATTAGAAGCTGGTTTCCCTGTACCTGTGTTTCTTTCCCCTCAGAATAAAAGGGATGCCCTACCTCAGGATCTAATCTTAAGGAATTTAATATGCTTCATACACAGCACCTTCTAGAACGTACTGAGTCTTATCTTTAGATGAGCAGTCCCCAGATGTGAAATTGTGTCACAAATGTCTTCTCCCACGGATAGCACATAAGGGATTTACGATACAGTACTTTTGGGGTTGCCTGAGTTTTTTCCTTATCTAGCTGAATGGTTTACCTAGTCTACCTCTGGAAACGTTTTGTGAAAGAGACTTTTCTTTATGGATCAGCATTTGGGGTATAAGCATTTCCCCCAAAATAGTAACTTTTAAAATAATCTAACTTGAGTGACAACAGGGAAGACAGCCCCAGCCCGACTCGGATCTGAGCAGGTGCTCTGACATCATTTCCACTTTGCAATACTGTGATGGTCTTGGCTCTGTCATAAACCCACAGCTAAATCATGAGGCCCTCTTCCCATGCTGCATGTGCTGCGGTGTGTTTTCAATATCTATTACCATGCCACTTATTTAGTTTTCTGCATTCACATTCTGCAAATATGTGAATTTGTATGAGGTGTTCTCTTTGATTTACAAGTTGAGGCGGCATATCACAGTTCAGGCACTTGGAGTCTTCAGCCTGTGGCCACAGCAGGAAAAGATTTTCCATTTTTATAACCCTCGCAGCTTCTGTTTTATATAGAATGCTTTTATTAAAAATGATAATATTCAAAGAAAGCATTTTTGTAATGTTCATGGATTAAGGCAGTAGTAAGGTTAAGCCTGCCACTGTGACTATGGCGAATACTACCTGTAGTAAGTTGTGTCTTAATTAGAATGAAGTTATACATGAGATCTTTACAAACTGCTATCTTATTTTTATTTTCAAATATGGCTAGCTTTTCATATGTGTATTATTCAACTGGCTATATAATCCATTCAGAACTGCTAAGTCCCACAATGCAGTTATGAGACAGGAAGACATGGTCCTTTCCTTCACGGAACATCTGGAATGAAACAGACCAGACAGTCAACAAGTTACAATTGCAGCATGAGGAGGTGGGGTCCACGTGAGACCCCGGGTGTGTGTGGCACGGCCATGTGTGAGTCTCAGAGTAGTGCAGGGAAGTGATACCCTGTGACATCCTGAAGAAAGCGACGGTACACCTGTGTAAGGCATGAACACGGCTAACAGTCAGGGGCTCGGCTGGGTGGGACATTCCTGGGAAGCAAACTTCCCCAGAGTGACCACTGCTGTGCAGTGGTGGTCAGTGGGATGAAAGGCCTCCTCATTGTTACCAACAATGTAGAGAAGTGAGTGCTAATGGCATGCTGTGTTAAGAGGTGAGCTACTAACCAAAAGGTTGGTGGTTCAAACCCACTAACTGCTCTGAGAGAAAGATGAGGCTTTCAGTTTCTGTAAAGATTTACAGTCTCAGAAACCCTATGGAATAATTTACTCTGTCCTATTGCAGACTTGGTTTGAACCACAAAAGTTGGTGGTTCAAGCTCACCAGACGCGCCTTGGAAACCCTATACGGGCTCAGAACCAACTCAACAGCACTTAACAAAACTAAAAATAGGGTCGCTAAGAGAATGAGTTGAGAAGCACCAGCTTTTTAAATGATCCTGGAAACCAAACAAGACTAAGTTGGAATGAAATGCACAGAAGCTAGTAAGCGAATAGCAGTGAGATGCTTCATTTAGCTTTGTGATGCTGGGACTCGGGAAATGGGCAGGACAAGAAGAGATTCCAAAAGGGCTGCTGAGAACTGGAAGCAACTTGATGGCAGCGACGGTTTTGATTTTGAGTAGGACCAGATTAAAGACGAATCCTAATGTGGCACTGCTGGGTAAGCACTAGACCACTAACTGTAAAGTTGGTGGTTCAAACCCATCAGCCAGTCCCTGGAAACACTATATAAGGTCTCTATGAGTCAGAACCTGCTAATGGCACTTAACAACAATGATGCAAAAGAAGGTCCCTGGGTAGCACACACTTGTTCACTGTAAGAACCTACTCTGTAGCCCCACAGAACAAACGAGTATGGCGATCTCCTTTTGTATAGATTACAGCAAGAGACGCCCTGTGGAGCAGCTGTCGGGATTACGTGGGGCCACTGTAAATAGGTAACTTGACAGAGCAAGACAACAATGCAAAAGAAATAACTTGATTATAAAAATGTCCTAAAGTCCATAAAACGGAATTGTGTTCTTTGTTGACATACTGATTATGAAGATCTTGTGAGTAATACCTTGTATTTCAAGAAGACAGTAAGTCGCTCATGACTGTTAAATTGATAAACCTTGCTTGTGTAAGTAAATAGCTCAGATTTTCTTAAAGATAGATTTGAAACTCAAATAAATACAACATCCTACTCTCTTTTCTGTCAATGTATGCTTGCAGCTGTTTCTGTATTACCTTTAGTAAAACTTTACTCACGTGGGATATCAAAGAGATTGTTCAATGATTTCCGCATTCCATTGGGTCACCTCTCTTTGAAATGGGCACAAATACAGATCTATTCCAATCATTCAGCCAGATAGTTGTCTTCCAAATTTCTTGGCAGAGATGAGTGAGTGCCTCCTGTGCCGCCTCACTTGCTTGAAAGATTTCAATTTTTATTCCATCAATTCCTGGTGCCTTGTTCTT